CCTGCTGCTTGAAGGCAAAAGCTTATCCACTGTAATACTGAGGAAATAATTGATTTTGGCATTACCGTTTCCTGACTTCTTCTACGTTCTCTGTACTTTGTTATTTGGGCACCCCTTAGCCAGAATGGTAACGTTCCCACAAGTATAAAAGCAATGGCTATGTGACTGTCTCCAACTGACAAACACATACTGTATGTTCACACGCAGTGACGCAGAAGTATTTAATATCTGGCTTCATATGACACATGAACAGTCTCTCAAAGGTGATTACATGATGATAAAATAAACATTTTAAAAAAGCATCCCTTTCTTTACATGGCCATTTTTTTAGTTTTAATAGTTTACTAAAAATAAGTCATTTATCTACTTGATTGACTATACAAATCTGAATCTATCAGCAAATGGGAAACTTCTGCCTCCAAGAATGATCCTCGTTAAAGATTCATGTGACTTTTCCAGGAATTGGTAATCAAAAATGTGGAAGGAAGAGTGACAACGTTCCATCATCTGATAAAGTCTCCGGACTTAATACCTCCAGTTTAAGATTCTCTCCCATGCATAAGAGAACATGCACTATTTTAGTCCCTGTAGTTGCCCAACACATTTTACTACAGCCAGGAGAAGAAATGCCCATTTATCTCTCTTGTACACAAATGTATTCAGTTTACAGAGATGTCTACTTGCTACAATATTTAATATTTATGGTCAGCTAAAATGAGAGGAACAGAGGCATGAGTGCACATATGCAACTGGCTAATTTGATGTGCACTTTGCAGCTCTGTGCCAAAATGACAGAAGGCTGAGTCACTATGAGGTGAAGTGTGGGAAAAGTAGGGAACAGACTCCTAGTTTAACCAAAAGTTAAGATCTGTGGCTTTGGTACAAGTGATTTGAGCAGTGATTTTCAGATTAAAATATAACTTTGCACCATGCATGGCTGACTTTATTTCCTAACAAGTCATATACTGTACAGTTAAGTCTGAATCATTTTTCCACACATTTTCTGCAAATTACCTCTCAAAATCCTAAATCTGATTTTTCACAACATTAAACACAAAAGGAGATTGAGATGGTTGCAGATACTCAGACACGGTGGTGTTTCTATAATGAAAATAATTTTGTTAGCTTGCTCTTGGCCACCTCACACAGCTACATATATAAGTAGTCGATTTTACTGACTAGTAGTTGCAGCCCTACAGATGTTTGTTTAGTAACTGAATCGGAACTTTAGGTCTTACATTATTGCATCAATAATTCATAATTTTATTTTATAGAAACAGACACACCTAGAGTTGAAACCAGAATCTTGGCATTTAAATTAAATTTCAGTTCCAGGCTATGAGTCAGAGAATGCAAGATATTTGCAAGTAATATTAAAACCCTTCTTATCAGCTAATGGTTAATATTTATGTTTAATCAACCCACACTGATGGTGCTTCAAAATTGAATGAATAATTAAAGATTTATTGTCTGATTTTTTGTGAATATCATAATCTGATATTCAAGATCAACCATGAAATTTAACAGTATGCAGGATTTTACACTATATTATAATGCAGTATCTTTAACTTTTTATTATCTTTTGTAGCCTGAAATTTCCTTTAATGCAGTTATAGTTTTTTAGTGTGCCACCCCAAGATTTTCACTGGCCCTATCTAAATCTGTAATGGAAGAAATATTCAACTGCAAATATTATTTGCTCACTTTCAAGCCAGAATGATTCAGCCACTTTTTTTTTTTTTTTTTTTTTTTTTTTTTTTTTTGCTGTGAAAGCTCATCTTACTTGATACATAAATAGATATTTGTTGAAAACTGGTGACTGAAAGTAGGCAAATTAATCATTCTCAAAAGTATAAAGCAGTTGCACCATTGCAGGTAAACACTCTGTAATAAAGGAGGAAATCACAAGCCAACATAGATGTAGCTGTTGTCAAGGCAGGGCCATAGCTGCTGCAGAGAACTATTCATTCAGCCTCACATGTCCAACATTTTTTTTCAGAGCACTGACGGTGATTTCTTTGGCTGGTTTACGCTCCTTTACAACATTTACCACAGGAGGAAATAACATAGGCAATTGAAGAGACTGACTTGTGTTCATTAATCTCCCAGACAGCCTCCAGAACAAGATTAAATCTGTCTGGGATTGTTAAGTGTTGGGTTACAGTTTCTTAAGTTAAGAAAAGAATCTATTTGAGTGGAAAAAAGGGGAAGTGGTTAATCCAAATGTTTATTCACTGTCAACTGTGACAGCACAGTGACTCACGTATATGTGGAAGTGTGTGTGTCTGTGTGTAGAGTGCATGACATAATACTTAAGAAGCAGCTACCAACTCTGCTGAGGATGTCTCTGATACAAAAGCCTTTTCAGGATGTCAAGATATAACTACAAATCGGTCTCCAGATGTTTTTCTCTGGTTGACATGTTTGATTAAAGAACATCTGTGTCCTTATAGATACACTCGCCCCACACTTAGTGTTGTCTCATTAATCTTATACTGTGTACTGTATTCTGGCTTTAAGAAGATGTAATTGTGGCATGTACACTATGTAGTGTTTGTACACTGTGACACAGAGCTGAGCCCAACTTCAGTTGCTGGTAACGCCTTGTAATGTATTCATATCCATAAAGGTCACAGATACATGCTGCACACTATATTATGCTAATTGACAGAGTTTCCATGCCAGTGCTATTGAATTATATACAACCTGATTGATAGGCATTGCCTTTGAGAAGAGGAATATACTGTATGGAGAATGAATGCAAATGCACAGTGGTGTTTGTGTGAATTTGGCGAGTGTTGACACTATTGTAATATTTGCATCTGACACATGTCAGAAATAGGATTCTCCGCCTGCCGGCACTGATTTCAAATGCAAGGGGGAAGATCATGTCAAGGAGGTGCGTCTCATCTCGCCCTTCAATGTGCAGCTCGGCAGCAATCATGTTTTTGCACATTCAATTTCCTGTGTTTAAATCTGACATGCAGGTTTTGTTTTCACTTTCCCTTTACCAAACTGAATATGATAGTGTCACTTGGTAACGCTAGAAGAAAAGATTTCCATGGTGCCGCCAGCTTTTCTTTTTTCTTTTTTATTTTTTTTGCTGAGGAGATGAATTGAACAGTAGGCACAGGGTTTGGGACCAATACAGCATGAATTATAATGAAATCATCTTTTTTTCCATTCAGAGAAGCTATGCTTTGAAAATGGAGTTTGCTAACTAAATTGGATTAGACATTGGTGGATATTTTGTTAGGTATCTCACAGATATCAGTGTGGGTTTGAGTGTGAACCTGCTGGAACGATGTAGGATTCTTTACTCTGTATCCATGTTGGTTCAAGGCTTTAGTCTCTAAAACAAACACATGGCGCTGCTTTATCTGTTAAGTTCTTTGTTCGGCCCATCTGCTGCTGCATCAAAAGCTGTAGTTTCAAATGTTGTTTTAAAAGAACTGTTATAGTTGACATATCAGTGACTTAATTTATGGTTCAAACCACTTTTTTGATTTCATGACCCAGGCACTGAAGCAACATATCTGGATGAGCCAAAATCTTATTTTGCTGATATCAGTTATTTCAGATAGCTGAGACACAATTCAGTCATTGTGTGCATCTAAACAGTATATAAGGGCTGAGTAGGTATGAGCTGGGATTACAGTGCATTCACTGAAAATGTTTAACAGTGATTTGGAGCCCCTGTGTTGACACTGGGCAAAGGAAAAATGCTGGAAAAAGTCTATTTTAAAAACCCATACAATTCTGTTTTGGGGAGTCCATCTAATCCCATCAATATGACAAGTTTAGGAATAGTGTGCAGTAAATGTTAGATTGAACTAATGTGGTGTACAAATGTAAATTTAGCTAATCAAACATTTTTTCTTTTCACAGCTTTGAAAAAAGGTCGATTCTGGATCACTCCTGACCCATACCACAATGATGATAACATCCAGATTGGACGTGAAGTCAAAATATCTTGTCAGGTATAGATAAGGAAAAGCACTGGCAGAGTGAATTGTAACGTACCGTATGTTGCTCATCAATGCAATAGAAATAATGTCATGAATGTCCTAGGTGGAGGCAACACCGCCAGAGGAGCTGATGTTTAGCTGGCTGAAGAATGGGCGTGCCCTGCGGAGCTCAGAGCGCATGGTCATCACCCAGACAGACCCTGACATCTCCCCAGGGACCACCAACCTGGACATCATAGACCTCAAGTTCACAGACTTTGGCACGTACACCTGCGTGGCCGCGCTGAAAGGAGGAGGCATCACTGAGATTAGCATTGACGTCAACATCTCTTCCACAACTGGTGAGCCTCATGCCCCTTTGTGTCAGCGACACATCTACGCACCTCCCCCAACACATCTGACATATACACACACATTTAAAACCCAATTGTCAGAGCAAAGAAAAAAAATGTGGTAGTGTTTACATGTATTCAAAATGCACCGCCATTTTCTCAGGCTGTGCCCCAGCCTGGCCACCCCATCCAAAATTTCCTAGATCCTCCCCTGCCTGTGCTTAAAGCTCATTTAAGTAGAGTAGGTCAAAATTGAACCATTTACCACTGACAGGTGTAAAAGTAGCTGGTATAGACCAGGTTGAAAGAGGAGTGACTTTTCCTCTCAAGGGTCTGTCTATTCACCCAAATTCTTAGAGACATTTTTCATCTCACCTCAGGTGGTTTCTAGCAATGCAGATAGTTTTGGTTTCATCTGCTTAGATGTGTGAGGCTCTCACATAGCTGCCACTAGGAATTCTTCACCGTGACACAATGGAGGTAAACTGAGGTTTGCAGAAGTAAAAAAAAAATATTACCTGGTTGTTTGTTTGTTTTATCTGTTTTATTGCCTTATTACTGCAGCAAAAACAAATCTCGGTTTACTGGCACTGAGCTGAAGGGGCAATGAAGGTCTCAAAGGTTTTAAAATCTTGAAAGATCAAATTTTATGTCAATAAAAGCAAAAAGTTTGTAGCAACATTTTTTTTGTGTGTGTGTGAGATTTAACTGATCCCAACCTTTTAAGCCCTTGCCTGAGTTGTCTCTAAAGGATACTGTGCACACCTGTGTTACAATACCAACACCGCTGTATTGTTCTTTTGGATTCCATCAGTCTGACTAATCAAAGACATCATCCTTCCATCTAATTGGCTGCTTCCACCAATGTTCCAACTAACATTTCCATACACATATACTGCATGTCAATAACACAACATACCAGTCCATCTTGTTCCTGAGCTGCATCTTTGTAGTTTTAATTGTGCACATAGAGTATTCACATAGAAACAGAAGTGTTACAACAACCCTTCATTGTATTTTTTCTTTTTACTTTTCTATTCAATTCAGTTGTTACAAAAGATGACAAGACATAGCTGGTAAGATAATAAAAATCTTTCTTCAGAAGAATAATCATAGGATGTCAGGTATCTATTTTTCTATCTGCAGTTTGAGATTTTAACATCAGTCAGCCCCTCTCCTTGATAGATTTTAGAGGAAAAAGCCTGGAACAGCTCCAAAGGCAACAAAAGAGAGAGTAGCTTCTAGAAGATTGCTACATAGCACATTTAGTGCAGTTAAAACATTTAGTACAGGCTCGGCAGTGATAGAGAAATGCAGTGGTTAGACAAAGCAATAACATGTAATGGGACAGGATTGGTGGTCTTTATCTGTAATCTCCAGTGTGAAGTCAATCAATGAGCAGCAAATGTGCAGTAATGCTCCAGTGTCACCACACATTACTTCATCGCCCAGCGACTCCACTGAGGGATGTGACCCGATTCGCTCCGCACCTCAGAGACTCCGTGACTGGGAGTCTTCTGCTTCCTGCTCACTCATTCCAGATTTCAGCATTTTCCATGTGGGGGATTCCCATGGGTCGGTGTTGGCCTCTTTCACAGGAGATATCTGTTTTTGCTTTGAATTTACTGGCATGCGTTTGTTGCTGATAAGTGACTTTGGGGTTGTGTGATGTTTTGCGATTTGTGATTGCAAGATTTATCTCCCCTTCTCTGTGGATGCACTCAAACACACACACACAGACACGTCGAAAGACACATTCACACAGTCACACACATTCTCACTGTCCTGTTTTTCTCTCTCTCTCACACACACATGCACCTAGCTGCCACTCACAGTGTGAACATGAAAGCAGTGTGTCAACCTTGGGTGCACAATTATTGTTAGATAATCCTTTGATAATCCAGACGCTATAAAACTGCAGGATCAATCGCACCTGCCAGGACTGTTTCCTCATTAGCGTTTAAGTAGTGCAGTCTCTTTTTCTGGAGTGCCTGGGCAATGCCACTGCATTAACACACCCTTTAATGTGTAAAAAAACACTGCTGTGTGACTGAGGAAGTAACGGAGGAAATTGTGATCATATGAAGTGAAGGGCTTCCTGAAGGCTTAGATGTGATTGCTTCTAAAGCTTTCATTGTTCCAATCAGATGTGTGGGTATGAAATAGTTTGAAAGTGTTGCGTTGCCATAGAGCTGTTCCTGTCATAGGAAAAAATATATTGAATTTTTGCTTCTGCCGGTTATAATTCCCAGTTTTACCTGAATGTGACTGTGCTGTTTTCCTGGAGAAAGCCTGTTAACGTGTGGTGTTTCTTTTAGTAAGATTGATGCTGTGTACTAGAGTGCTTTGTTCCCTAGCCTTGCCATACACCCGTGGCCTGTTTTGTGGTGAACTTGCCCTATTTTTGTTCTGCCTATTCTTCTGAAAGGAGAAAGCCTAAGCTGAAACTAGAAGTCTTAATAATGGCATTCAGAAATGACACTGTAAGTCTGCTAGGGTTTTGTGTTGACAAAGCCTAAAGTGACTCTTTGGCGCTCACTGGTTGTTCCAGCAATGGCCACAGCTTCAGATTCCAAACTCAAGCTTAGCCCCAGTCCACAACATTTCTATATTAAAGAGAATATTTATTATGTCCTATTCCTTCAACTTTTGATGAATACAGCTTTCAACAGCTTTCACGCTTTTTCCTTTTTTTTCAAATCAGCATTAATATTTACTATCAGGAAACACTCATTAAATAAGCAACTTCTTTTCCCAGAGAATGCAAGGCTTATGCTTATTTATGAGCATGTTCTGGAAACAAGGACACAGACATCCCCTTTGGATACTGTCAGGATTAAAAAACCACAAGACACAGGAACAGTTGGAAAGAGTTATAAGCACCAGTGTTAAGGCATAAAACATCCCATAAACTTCTAATAGGAGCTAGCCAATTAATCCCATGGGTTAAATGTGCGTTTAGTGGGTGTGTCTTGCTGAATTGTTGTTAGATGATGTGATTATTGCTATTCTACGGCTGTGACTCCAAAATGTTATTTGGCTTCAGAACTACCACTGAGACATTTTAGAAATACAATTTTAATGGCTTGTGGCATCATTACAGATGGATGCTTGACATTTTAACCAGTTTTCAACAAATTCGTAAAGTTGATATTTGCTTATTGCACTTGCTTTATTTCAGTCCAAAAAAACTAGATTACAGTCCCTTTAAAGCAGTTGTGATGAGAATAGTTTTGGCATCTGTAAACAGCAGTAGCTCATCGTCAGTCTGATTGATGAGCACAAAGTAACTATTAGGATTGAAAGTCACCCCTGTCTTCTTGCGAGGGCGATAAATTCCTCCATGACAAGCCCTTCAATTAGTATCCCGCTCACATCTGAAACTCTGGCACCACCCAGTGTTTCCGTCAATCTCAACAATCAGTGCAGTTAATGAATTAAACAAATCAATTAAGTGGCTGGTTGATTAAAAATGATCTGGTTTAGTAAACACATTGTACCTTTTTTCTGAAATGAATTTGAGTCATCTAACCCGTGTGACAGGCCTGCTTCTTTGTCTAGCCCCCGTTCAACTGTCCTGTTGCCTGTTTGACTCTGATTTGTCATGAGTTGCCATCGATCTAGTGATTGTGACACATGTGCCTCTAATAGGGACAGCATGGTCGCTGGCTGTTGACCATGCTGATTTGCTTGTTGCATCCACAAATTCACTGACCCTGATAAAGAGGAACCTGGATTGCATCTTGACTCACAAATGCTCAAGTGCTGTTTGGTCAGTGTGCGTGGACACAAGTTGTTTACTTTTTCCTTCAGGGAAGAAGTTTGAGGTTGTTTGTTGATGTTCACTGCATGTCCAATCCCCCTGTTTTTGCACTATGTGAGAAGTTTCACCATTTAAGGTTATTGACTGGACTTATTAAATATCATAATAAAAAGTGGAAACATGGAGATGAGCCAAACTTTAGAGCGGTACTGTATATGATTAGACAATCACTGAATAGGGTAGATGTTTAGCTGTCAATTTGGTGCCATATATGTCTTGAATGATGAAACTCAAACCCAGAAGATATGGCTTATGTTGAAAGGATTATTCATGACAAAAAATATGGGACTTTGAGCTCATACCGTATGCGTAGAAGCAAATAAAATATCTGAATACCATAAGATAGAAAATTAAGTTATGACCTGAAAACTAAACTAAAGTAACACCTGAGATAGGTAGATCCCTGCATTAGATAAAAAGCCAATACAGGGCCTGAGATGGGCCCAGTTAGCTGTGAACTTGGATAAAGGAACTTCAGAGCTGTCCTACAGCTGGGATGCTGTCCTGAGAAATCTCCCATATGACAACAGTAGATGCTACAGTCATGCCACTTCTAGAATGGTACGCATATAAACACCTGGCAGCATATGTCAGCACAACACCTGTGATGTTTATGAGGAAGGCTGCACCTGTGGAAACTGTCACGCGAAGCATACTCTGTACACTCTAAACACAAACATTTATAGTTATAGAGGTCTGGGGAAATCAAAGGGTGGTAGGCAGGCAGAAGCTCAGTGGTAGAAAGTAACTAAGTACATTTATTCAAGTACTGCTCTTAAGTACAATTTTGAGGTCTTTGCACTTTACTTGAGTTTGCTGCTATTTCATAAATTGACTTCACTACAAACAAACAGTATACTTTTCAAGCCACTGTTTAATAAATTGAGTTACAAATTACTTTTCACAAGCTACCCAGCAGTATGTAAAGTACTTATAAGTATAAAAGAAAGTTACCAGCTGTAACATTAAAGTGATGAACACAATTATGAATCATTAATTGTAATGCAGTAACATAATATACATTCAAGTGAATGTGCCATTCTGTATGATGGGTACTTTTATGTTTGGTACTTTAAGTATATGCTCATGCTAATACATTGTACTTTTACTTAAGTAAAATTTTGAATGCATGGCTTTTACTTGCAACTATCTTTACACTGTGCTATTGTTACATTTACCTAGAGTAAGTAAACAATCTGAGTACTTCTTCCATTACTGCAGAAGCATAGTGACATTTATCAAGTGTAAGTGTGGCCAGTGTTCATTGTGCATGTACTAACTTCATAAAATATGTTAATAAGACTAGATAGCTCGGCCCATAATGCCAGCATACCTGCATAAAGCCTCCATCTGAAGGCATGCTTTATAGAGGTGGCCATCTGGGAAATCACCTCCCTGTCCAGCTGGGAAAATCTAGGAGGCAAACATGAATAAGAAACACTCTCCCTCCCTCATTAAGTACTGTCAGGGTCCCTTGAGCTATGTACATAAACTGTGAGCCTTTTAGAGGAGTTGCTCACTGCTTAGCAGTACAAAAACTGGACTGTGGGCTGGAGTGGAGATGTGTATTTCATTACAGAAATGTAAAAAAATAAAATAAAAGGGCAAAACAGAAAACAGAGGGGCAACATTACAGATAACAGTGTGGCCACAAATCAAACTTCAACCCATGAGAGCACTGATACTGAAAGCCTGCTGCTTTACAGTCTCAGCACATAAATTCATGAGGGGTTTGTGTGATTGATCGTAAAATAACTTAAATCTCAGGGGAACAATATACAGCTCAAAAACGCATACACAGTAGTATGTCAGTACGGTCAGCATTGTGTCACTGCAGGATGTACTAAACCAAATTTAACACATCTGTACACATTTATTACACTTCAGCAACTTGACGTATAAATGCGCACACACACACACACAAAGTGGACCTATGGGAGTCCTCTCTCTGTTCTCAGAGGTCCAGGACTCAGAGGAGCAGAGAGTCCTGTCATATTGTGACTCATTGGCCTCAAGCTGTCTAAACACACACTCACACATACAGCTACACACTCTGCAGGAGTTGTAGTAGTAGGCAGTGCTGTGTTGCCATGGTGATGGGGAGTGATGTCACAGCATTTCCCCAAAAAAAGGGGGCAGCGGGAATGTTGTTATTCTCAGAGATGTCTGGGCGCACAACTCTGGCTCCTGTTGCTGTAAGAAAATGCTAAATGCCAGATATTAGAAGGTTTGCAGTCAACTCACATGTACTGTCTGCTGTGTTGAAAAAAAAAAAAGGCTCCAACAATCAGTGTCTACACTTGGAGGATCATTCCAGCTGAGGCCCCAGAGATGTGTGAGGCTGCTAAGGCAAAACAAAAAAAGGCCCAGTCCCAGTTTACCCCCACTAAGTACAAAAGCACACACACATAAACACATTGTTCTCGGTCATCACCAGGGATGAGAAGCGTCCCATTGAGGAACTAAGGCAGGATCACAGCATGGTGTCACCCATGGGCAAGAAAAGAAACACTCAGCTATATGCGCATGCACACAGGGAGACATAAAACTATGTAAACGCGCACTACACAAGCATACGCACGCAGCGGGCATGCCCTGCAGGCATCACTGGCATTTGGATGGCTTTAGCACACTGAGAGCACAGCGAAGACCAGTAGTGGGTTCTCTGCCACACTAAGCATCTCAGTGGACAATGTCACACACAGAGAGAGGGAAGAGAGTGTAGGAAGAAAATGAGATAAAGAGTAGGCAAGAGAGAGATGGCCGAGTGTCTCTGTGCCTGTTTCCATTTCCATAATTGTGCGAAGAGAGACGATGGCAGCTGATAGCCGGTATTTGTGCTGCCAGAACCAATAGGCAGACAACTGTAATTGCCTGCCTAATCTGGGCTATGGAGAGGCCAGGTGTAATGATGGCAACTCAGTGAATACACATCCCCTCAACTTGCTAATGGATGCTTGCTGCTCCTCTCCGATCCCCCTGCTGTCAATTCACCATTTTACTGTTTGGACCCAAGGAAGCACTTGGAGAAGTGTAGAAAATATGCAGTGGAAAGAAATGTGTCAGCTCTTGACACCTGCCTGGCTCAGTGGAGATGCTGTGTGAATACCAATCCACAAATGTATGAGAATGAAATGAGTGTCGGCTGTCACTGTCTCTGCGAACATGATTTTTGCTGCTGCTGCTTTGGTGCCAAACAGCATTGCCAGGGTATATCTGTGAATGATCAGTCTTCATTATCTCATGCTAATGGCAATGTTGATGTATTACATAAGTGAAAAGTTTTAGATAAATGTTGAACTAGGTGATGAGCAGTGAAATATGTGGGTAACAGTGGATAGAAAGACAACTTAGGGGTTTCCATATGTTGTAATACAGTGATTAATCAGTACAGTACAGTAGGAGTGTTTAAAGCTTAAGTAATCAGTGGTTTTAGGTTAACACCGGAGCAGTGGACTACTTGTCCCAGTGTCCCAGCTATGTTTACAGCTTGTCTTTAGGTTAACAATGGAGCAGTGTCCCAGCTATGTTTACAGCTTGTTTCTGCTGTTTTCAAGTGGCTCAAAAGAAATTAAGTAATGCAGGTTTAATATTTCTATAAGAAATTAATTGAAAGAGAATTCTCTGTTGTTGTTGCTCATTTATAACCACTGTCCAATCTTTACATCTGTCTTGCACATTCATTTTTTGTGAGGTCAACAATAAGCTGCTGTACGGGATCTAGCAAAACATTAGAACAAGGAATGCATGTCTAGATTTTTCTTGTTTATGCCAGTTTGATTTATCTATCATTTACATGCTGTTTTACATATTGTACTTCCAGAATGTTGAGTGTGTTTGTATCTTCTGACTCACTCTGAAAACAAAAGGAATAGCTGACAGCTTTAGCTTTGACAATATCAGTGGGATTGCTACTTCTCAACCAGACAGAAGTAGGGTCAAAGGAAATATAGCCGGGCCTCTGTTTCACTTCCTGGAGATTGCTAGCGATTTCATCACTATCAAACTTCAGTGTGACTTGACTTCATTCCAGCTGCAGCATTATTTGGACAGAATGACAGGGATTCAAAAACCATCAGGAAAGCATCATTGCTGAGAAGATTTTCACTCATTGAATCACTGGCTGTAAACTATTTTTGGGAGCAGTGGTACAAAATAGTCTTGGAGTCAGCCGATGGTTTGGGCTCACACAGAACTACATGAATACACAAATACACACACAGCACGCTAGGAGCTGGTGCAATATGCCAGGTTCACTAATTAAACAAATTTACTTGGCCAGCATGCTCGATGAGGAACCCGGCTGCCTGATCCAACCTGATAGTTTTCCTGGCTTTGCAGACGAAGAACTCACACACATACATCCACAGACACACTCAAACAAACCTGTAACCGCATCCAGCAATATGGCAATTTGCACTTTTTTGTTATTCATTGTGCAATTTCAACAAGGCTCTAAAAGTCCATTAAACAAAGGCAAAATGATTATTGGGCTATATTTTGTTACATGGCCAATAATAATGCTATATCACCTTTGGGAGGGTTCTGTTGTAAATGCTCTGAATTCTATGATGCAGTGGATGAGAAACTGCATGAGGAGGAGATCGGAGAAGCAGGACACTATGGAGGTTGATGTCAGTGATGAAAATGGCAGTGATAAGAATAATGAATGCCGAAGTGATTGTGGTATTAAAAATCATCTTGAAAATAGTATTGTGAGGAGAATGATGAACATGATGATGCAATGATACCTGATGACTGTAATGCCAGTGCTGAAAATGATGATTTATCTTAGCAATGCTGTTTGATTAGGAAGATAAAGCAGATTAAATTTGTCTATGGTGAAATTATTAGGTGGATTCTGTTACCTTTTTCTTTTAGTGACTTACTGTATGATTTGTTTCCCGGTGCTAAGGAGGTATTTTGCTCAAGGAAGGGTCAAATATTCCTTGTAATGGTTAACTCAAAATAACAAGCTAAAGAGAGAGAGAGGGAGAGAGAGAGAGAGAGAGAGACTGTGTGAATGAACTGAGAGCATGACCATGAGAACAAATCGAGTGAACAAGAGAAACAGAACTTAAAAGTATAGTGCCATTAAATCTGAAGCTACAGCCAGGAGCTGGTGACACTGTAGCTTATCTGAGCCTTAAGGCTGGGAGAAACAGCTTGGTTACTTCTGTCTGAAGGTATCGTGAAATCTCAGTGAACTTTATCTCAGTTGTTTAATTCATACAAAAATTATTTATTTGTAAGGGATTCTTCAGAGGCAGTAGAAACAACGATGTACAATAGTGTCATTTAGTTCAAGTGTAGTTCCTGTGGCTACCTGGACCAATTTGGTTGAAAAGGTCTATTGCTGCTTAATTTCCTTGGAATGTTACAGTCACAAAATGTCTTTGCTTGGCAGTTTTTCATTGCATTATTTATTGTTTGCCATTGCTTGCTGATAATTAACTTCCACACTGCTGTCCTCCCTGATGGTTTTACTTAAAGTACGTGCTCTAGTCCCAGCTGTTGGCCATTTCTGCTGCTACTATCTGCATGGTCCTTCCATAAAAAGCTGTGTGTGTGTGTGTGTGTGTGTGTGTGTGTGTGTGTGGCTGAGACTCAGCTTCATTGCCATTGCAAACTGGATGCTCATTTGCTTCCCCCATACCTTTCACACTACTTCTCCTTCCCCCATTCGACCATTTCCTCTTATCCCGCCTGCTGACTTTCTAGAGCCCCATATCAGTCCCTCCTCTGTTTTTCTCTTTCTTAGTTCCCCCCAACCTGACAGTCCCCCGGGGCAAGTCCCCTCTGGTGGCCCGCGAGGGTGACACAGTGGAGCTGGAGTGCCTTGTTTCAGGGAAGCCCAAGCCCATCATCCTGTGGTCGCGAGCCGATAAGGAGGCTCCCATGCCGGATGGCAACATGCAGATGGAGAGCTACGATGGTGTGCTGCGTATTGTTAATGTGTCCAGAGAAATGACAGGCTCATACCGCTGCCAGACCAGCCAGTATAATGGGTTCAACGTAAAGCCCAGAGAGGCCGTGGTGGAGCTGATTGTACAATGTAAGTAGACAGACTGTGGGTATTTTTGTCTGTGAATGTGTATCTGTATTTGTGTGTGTATGCATGTTCTGGTTTGACTTGTGGCTGTGTGTATTTATGTATGGCGCGTCAGTCGCTACTGTACAGTCTTTTCTTTGTATGCCATGTAATTAATCTATATTTGTTCCAGTCCAGTGTGACCAAAACTGAACATTCTCCTGTTTCTTTCCTTCCACACCTTTCCAATTTTCTTCTGAAGGCTGTAAAATTAGTCCAGTCCACTGGCAGCTTCGATCAGGTCCGAGAAGAAACATCTCTGATGCCACCTCTTACACTATAGGAGGGCACTTTATCTGATGAGCGTGAACTGGGCAGAGCTGTATTTACATTTGTGTGTGTGTGTGTGTGTGTGTGTGTGTGTGTATACCCACCCAGATCAGAGAAGACCCAAAGACTCTGTGCCATATCCCCACGCCTCAGCCTCCCTGCCACTTTTACATATTGAGAAACCCTTTCCCCTCCTCTTAAGATGTAACATTCAAAGATGGCTTAACGGCTAATTAGTGAGCAGCTAATGTATTCCTGCTAGTATTCATTTTGTATTCATTTATGGAGATCTGAATGGAATATTTTGAATGAATATCAGAGATACAAAGCGGTGTCACTCATTCCGAGGCTGGAGATGTTTCTCTCGGCCAAAAAAAAATGAGCAGAAGCTGGTTAGGAAAGGAAATCCATGAAGCAATCCATGCAGGGTGCTTCCCATACTCTGCCAAGGAAATAGAGTGCCTTGGCCACAGTTTTATCATTTTCCTCATGGCCTAGTCAGTTAATTCATACATTCTTCCATCTCAACTTACCTTCAACTTCTGTGAAACATGTGGTGCTTAGCATGTTGTATGCTGGCAGCCATGTTTTAAATGTCTGCTGTGTTAGACTCGGGACAGCTTTTACAGTGTGACTAATAAAAGAGAATTATGGTATGGCTGCAGCTCATCCAGGGTTTTGGTTCAAGATGAATCACTGGGCTGATAAGACAGTAACAATAATTATTATAATAGTGAAGGGCCAAAACAAAGAAAATACATATTCAATTGGAAACATAAAAAGTGAGTGACAGCGAGGAGGAGGGCTGCACAGGATGATGAAAGTGTGGATAAGAGATTGGATGGATTGGATAATATTTAAAGCTGGATAAACAACAGAGCGACATCTGCTGTAAAATGTGTAATGACCTGTGTTGATAAAGTCAGGAAACCATGAAACAAACAATGTAACATTACCCATTATGCAGAAAGAGTCTGCTCCCAAACTAGCAGCTGAGCTCACCAAACAATAAACCTCTTAAAGTTAGTTCAAGCCCCTGCAGCAGTTGCTCCTATCGCCTTTTCAATCATTATCCAACATGAGAAAAACTCAAAGAGAAGCATAGACACAGCGAGTGCAATTTCATATTTCATGCCAAATGACACACTGCCAACATTTTGATTGAAAATGAACAAGAGCGGCGCCCATTCTTCTGTCACCAACAACAGGATTAGTACATAATTTTGCCCTAATTTTTTAAGCAATTTTACATTATTCTTTGCAATGGTGCTGACATTTCAGCTTACCCACCATGCTATGTTAAGAGTGATATGTTTTGATGTGCTTTGAAAAAGACTTTTGGCTTAAATGACTATGATTATGCAGTGATGGCCTATGTATATCAAAGGTTAGCGGCTTTGCTATGCACCAGTGCTGACACAAAAATGTAAGCAAAGGATTTAAACTCTTAAGATGCTCATCATTAATTATCAGCAATCAATGACTCTGCTGTCTCATGCAAGGAGGTCTGGTGGGACAGAAACATATTGTTGAATGTAAAAATAAAAGAACTAAGTTGGTGTTTAAAGCCTTTTAAGAGCAAATATAAAATCCTTCTATACTGTATATTCACACAGCATCCTCATGTTGAACAAGTCTCCCCGTGCCCTATTTTTAAACAACACTCAAACTGAAATACCTACTACACGTAGTCC